GACGCCTCCAAAACTAAACTGCCCTCTCTTAATCAGGTGAATGACCCCTTTCTCTTTTCTATCAGCATGGATGATGCTAACCTCCAGGAGGTTGACGAGTTGAGCCTTCTCGTGCTAACATTTTCGGCTATATTGAATCCATTGCTAGGTCTGCTGCCACGAAAGTTTCTTCCCTGTGTCCAGCTAGACAATTTTTCACTCTAGAATATTGATGAATTTTTAATGCAATAAATAAATTATTTTAGTATAGGATAAATTTATGTATTATATATATATATATATATATATATATATATATATATATATATATATATATATATATATATATATATGTGTGTGTGTGTATCCGTATGAATGTGTTTGTAAAAATTCAGATAAAAAAAATTAAAATATACCTGTAAAAAAGACAATACGAGTAAAAAACAAAAGGAAAACCTTTCTTTACCAACGCGTTTCGTCCTCTTTTTGAAAGACGAAACCAACCATACAGGATTTTCCCGCACACGCACATGTCTTCGTGGGTTTATTGCCTTGTTTGGAGTGAAATGATTAAATAAAATAAAAATGCATAAACACATATATTTAGCAGCCCTTCAAAAAGAACTTCATCAGACTAAAGTGTTCCTATTGATGGAATTATATGTATGTTGGATGAGGGGGAGTAAAAAGAAAAACCTCACACTCTGTCTACTGCTATCACAATGATGGATATTTAAAAACAACAGCGATAAAAAGAATAAAATCATTAAGAAGATGAATCAAGTCGGTTAATCCGCATCTCCGGACGTATCAACCGAAAGAACTTTAATATTCAACAGTTCTCCTAGATGCATCATTATAAAAATCCACACTTTTCTTGGTACTTCCAAACGTACATATATATAATTCCATCTATCAGAAACATGTGAAATAATGTTTTCATTTTGTCATTCCGTCCAGTCATGTACAATACGGCTTCCCTAACCACCTTGTAGACCACCAAATTAGACTATTCCTCCCCAAAGCAAGTAATAACGATAGCGAACACACAGCCAAAAATCACATACACATTTATTACAAAAACCAAATGCACATTAATTACAAACAAGATGAATCTTCTCTAAGGCATATTATAAAGAAATATACTACTCCAATTGATGCGAATAAAAAAATCAAATTAATTATCTATTATAAAAAATTTAAGACAGTCAATCTTATCCTCAAAAATAACACACCAGCTAAGTCAAAATTACAAAGAACGAACATTATCTATGAGTTCAAATGCCCCTAAAGGAATTGTGTTCCTGATCAAACCGGACTCATAAATAATTACATCGGCTACACAACCACATACTTATCCAGACGTCTTATCTGATCACAGCTCCATTAGAACCCATTTAAACTCACACACAAATGGACTCCATTAGGAACATACTAGTAGAAAACACAAATATAATAACTGCATCCACCTGTAAAAAAAGACTAAAAATAATGGAAGCTTTAATAACAAAAAAGAAAAAGCCAACTCTTAACAATATTAACTACGAACAAAACCACAATGTGCTAACCGTATTCGGAAATTAAAAACATCCCTACCACACACTAAGACATACATAGAAACTGAAAAATCAAATCATCCTTGATAATGGCTAAAGGTATAGCCGAAAGCGCTCGGAAATATAAAACATTTGGACAGTTCTTGCACACCCTTTGTCCAGAAAAGAAAGCTCTTGTTCGAACACAAGAAAAATTAAATAAAAAGCTAAACCTTAGTACCTTGTCTGTCGTTTTTAATGAAACATGCATATATATATATATATATATATATATATATATATATATATATATATATATATATAACAGCAAAATTGTTAAAATCGTGTAACACTAAACTTGTTCATTTGTTAGATTGTGCTTTGAACCGTTGTATCTTAGAAATGATTAAAGATATCTTACTGGAATTCTCCGAGTTTTTGTAACACTATTGGACGCTACTTTAAGCAATAACAGGAAAATCGTGGTAAAATCGATGATAAACGAAAATGACATGTTCATCATTAATTAATCATAGCTAAGGATCGGAAACTGATGAGGGAATGAATATATATATATATATATATATATATATATATATATATATATATATATATATATATATATATATACCCAAAGAGCCCACCTATGGTTTATACCTCCAACTATGTTGAGCAGACCATAGTTACAGTTTCTGGGGATGATTTGTGATTTCGTACTAGCACAGCTATCGACGGGCCCCAAGGGTTCCGTCTACTCAATTTCACTCACAAGGCTTGGGTCAGCCCTTGGTATGGTTTTCAGACACTTTCCAATCGTCCGATAACATCAAATTGACCATGGCAAGAGTCGAACCCGGGTCTCATGGTTAGAAAGCGAACGTCCTAATCACTGGGCTACGTACCTCCCTCCCCCTCTCCCTCCCTCTCTCTCTCTCTCTCTCTCTATATATATATATATATATATATATATATATATATATATATATATATATATATAGGTATTAAAATTAATTTAATGTAGCCTGGTAACCTCATGTGAAGATGGGCACTGGTGTCGTGATTACGTTTGTCTGCAATATGTTACTGACACTAAAAGTAATTTGCTAAGGTCACGTGAACTGACTCGAATGAAGAGTTTAAATTAACAAGACGGCTTTATAAGAAATTTTCACTCCTAAAATATTCCACTTTTTATATAAAAGAATTTTTTTGCCAGGCAACTTATAAGCAGTTGTAAGAATTTTTTTTATTGTGTGTGCTGTTTGTGTCTGTGTGTGTGTGTGCAACCTTTATTTGGATTTGTGTAGTATTTGTGTATACAAGAAATTAATTCACAAAGAAAGGTATCAGTACATTACAAAACATTAAAAAAAAAAAACACTTTCTTTATAGCAGAAAATATATATAAGCAATTTAGCAGTACAACTGAACATGAAGCATAGGAAAATATCTATTAAAAAATATCGTAGATGATTTCAGTGATAAACAAATTACAAACAAATATATGAAGTGCAAAATATCAATATTCATAGCTACTTCTTGCCTCCTGTGGAGATTTCTCTCTGTTGAGGGGTCCACCCCTTTTTATACAAATGAACTCACCCAGTATATACATATACTACTGCAAGAGTAAGACGAGAGCAAGACCGAGGAGTCGAGTCGAGTCGAGTCCAGAGTGACAGAGTAAAAGGTGGTAGGTAACGGGAAGAGTGAGGGGTGAGGTAACCGCGTTGTAGGAGTCACAGTGAGCGAGCACGTAGAATCAGTAAGAAGTCATACAGCGATACTTCAATACCAAAGACTGTATATATATATTTTGCTACTAACCCGTATTCCTGGAACTACTAACCTGCTTTACCAGTTTGTATTATTACGTTAATACATTATTTTCATATATTCATTCCTGGTGTTTGTTATTTATTGGTTTCCGGATTTCAACTCGGAATCCACAACACTCTCTATGCAGTGACCACAGTTACATATGTCAGGTATTATCGTCCAGATTCTATGGCACCGTATCTCTACGCATCTTCTGATATAGCACAACCTGTCTCTTGAAGACTAAACTTGCGGGCAGCTTGTACCACACGAACCAAAGGAAAGGACAACCAAATCTATTGTTGTTGTTGTTGTTGTTATATCTGTTGTATACACATTTTCTTCCGTGTCCCAAGGAGAGACCTAACGAAATGGTTGTATGATTAAAAAAAAAAAAAAAAAAAAAGACCGCATACATGTTACATAGATAAAGGTCTTCGTAATGTTGTGAGTACAATTTTTTGCATTTATTTCGAGCATGGGTTACCAGGAATCTCTTCAGTGAATCTATCGAAACATTTTCCAGTCAATACGAGGTCTCCAACTACAACGGGAATTATTGATATCCTCATGTGTTACTTTTTGGGGATTTCCATTTCAAGATTCTTGCATTTTGATACTTTTTTTGAAGAAATTCAACGTTACATTACAATCTGCCGGGACTGCCAGATCAATATGAAAGCAAATTCTGTTTTTGTAGTTTTGAACACGATTAGCTTTGATTGTTCTTTCTGTGTGTATTGAAAAGTTCCATAATATTATTAAAGGTCCTATCTCAGTAACCACGTCTTGGTGATGTTCAACCCAGTTTTTTTGCAGTTACCTTCCCGTAAATGTTTCATATTATCCAGTGTAATATTGGGGCCCACTCTATCATAACGAGTTTTATATTCAGTTGGTGCTAACACTGTGTAACCTGATACAATATGATAAATTATTTCTGGATATTTATCACAGAATCTGCATTTGGTTTTAACATAATTTTTCAGTGTGTATGTGAGTGTGTGCTTGCTTTGTAATTTCTAGTCAGCAATCATTGGTTCTGTGCAGCAAGAATAAAACCTTCGATTTCATCTTTTACCCAAGCACTGTTGATGAGTAAGGGGTTTGTGTACATCACCTTGTTTTTTTTTTTTATGAGTAGATCAGTGACCATGAAGAGGTTTATCTTGCCATCGTTTCTGAATATGGTTCATTGCATTGGCCTGTGCTTTCTTTTTTAGGTTCTTCATCACTATAGTACGTGTATTATAGTTTATTTCTCCACCGACTTGAAATTTCCTTTTGAATTTGTTGGCTTTCTATTACTGAATAAAGTTTTTTTTTCTTTTATGCTCTTTCATTTAGTCTTCTGTAGTTTCCTGGTATCGTTGAAGACCAATTTCTGTGATTTTGTAAGACAATTCTGGTTAAACTAATCCTCTGCCTCATTTGGATCTGATCACATACAGACGATCAACATCAGCCTTAGGATGATGCATGCGTTGGCAAGGGAGAAGCTTCCTCGTTATTATTATTATTATTATTATTATTATTATTATTATTCCATTTCTTTCTTTTCTTACTAAGAGCGTACATCCTGCTGTTATCTCAGATAAAAAACGGACTTTTCCTGTTTGGTCGCAAGAATAGACTGAAGAAATGATTGAGCAAAGTTACTGCTTAGTTTTAGAGAGAGAAACAGAGGGAGAAGAAAGAAAGAGAGAGAAAGAGAGGGAGAAAGAAAGAAAAAAAGAAAGCAAGAAAGAAAGCGTGAGAAAAAAAAAAGAAAGAGGGGAAAAGAGAAAGTAAGAGAAAGAAAGAAGACTCCCGAATGGATGATTCCCCGATCATTACGATCTTTAAATCTAAGGCCAACCGTTATCTATCTTCCATATCACTATAATATGCACTTCTTACTGCCACTCTTTCGCTCTTGCAACAACCTCATTCTGTAACCCTCTACCTTGAGTTTCTCCTGGGCCTTATATTGGGTGAATAATGGTATAAAAAATAATAAATACACTTATCAGACTTTTTTATAACAATCGATAAATTATGCTTCGTATGGCCGTACTTCAGATGCTTTCCAACTCAATAAGTTGCTAACATCATGCTACACTATCATTTTCAAGCAAATATTAGATTAGCTATATTCCTCAGTTCCACAAATATAGTTCTTTTCTCAGCTAGAAACTGCCATGCCACATACACAGGATCGAATAATCTTCATTCCCTTTGTATTCCATTGGTAAGGAGGAAGTTCCACTCAGACAGCTTTTTCCTCTGAAATGTTACTTTGTGGAACAGACTCTCGCGTGCAAGCTTCTGGACTCTATCAAGGTTAGAGAGAGAGAGAGAGAGAGAGAGAGAGAGAGAGAGAGAGAGAGAGACACACACACACACACACACAAGGGGGGTAGGTAGGTCTGGGCAGTTCGGTTGATAGGCGTAGGTGTTCAGTCTATTCTATTGTCCATCTCAAGCGGGCATCTGAAGACACAGATCCGGATTTCAAATCCTGATTGAAGGAGCATTCTCCTTTATGATTTTTTTTTATTATTATAGTCAAATGTTAAAAATAAACAAATCAAATGTTGATTTGTATAAAGAAACCAGAAAATGTCATTTGAAACAAAGGAAAGAGTACTGAACTCTTATGTAATATCTGTACTTCAATATTGAATGCTGGACAGATGAAGAGGTTTGAGGCAACTGAAATATGGTTCTACAGAAGGATGCTGAGAATACAACTGACTGAACATGTAATCAATGATAAAATTTCAGAGAAAATGAAAATAAAAAGGACACTTTTACTTAAAAACAGAAAGAAACAACTAACATTTCTAGAACACATAATGTGGAATGAAGGCTTGGAAAATTTAACACTGACAGGATAAATTGAAGGCAAATTGGACAGAGGAAATCCGTGCATAACTTACCTAGCGAGCTTGTGTACAAATATGGCAGAGCAATGTTTAGTAGAAAGAATAAATACACACACTTTATTAATAGCTATAAAAGAAAGGAAATTGTGGAGAGTCATGGTTGGTCACGTCCTGAAAGAACACAGCACATAGAAGAGAGGAGACTAATAAAACAAACAAACAAAAAAAAACTTTTTTATATTTTTTAATACTTGCCTTTCTTTATATTAAATAAATTCTAAGGCATCCTAACTTTCTATTCATCTCGACAAGGCTTGATAGATAGATAGATAGATAGATAGATAGATAGATAGATAGATAGATATGGAAAGACTGGGATAGATAGATAGATAGATAGATAGATAGATAGATAGATAGATAGATATGGAAAGACTGGGATAGATAGATAGATAGATAGATAGATAGATAGATAGATAGATAGATAGAAACAAAATGAGTTAGATCGATAGATATAGAAACAGAATGTGATCCATCGATCGATAGATAGAAACACTGTAATTGCTAGTGAAGGAGATAGATGCGTTCACAAATATTAATGCATTCTTACATTCTTAATTTTTTCGTTTCTTAGTAAGATCATTCACGCATGCCTATATCAGAAACGTCATGCGCATGCCCTAGCAAGCGCTTCCGCTTATTCTCTTTAGGCAAATCCAGCAGACCATTTTATCGACCAATTCACATCGTCACTCTTACGAAACAAATGGTGCCGACAAGTTGAAATGCATTCACATAATTTTGCCCGCTTGATGGGACGCAGGCTTAACGCCATATGAACGATTTTCAAAAGCGCGTATTTTCAGTCAATAGAACGCAAGCACGTTACTTGAAAGGTTTTTTTTTTTGCTACATGTTTATTGCGTATGTAATTTTGATGCTCCATTTGTAGCCTGTGTGTGTAGAACATACCTTCATGAAGATGAGTGAAAAAAAAAATGGATGTCAGGTGATACTTAACAAATGTTAAACGTAATTCATTTGGTGTAAGACCCTGTTTTGTGGCCCATTTCAGGAAATAAGATTTCGAAGAATGTTATATTTATGGATGTGGTATAGTATAAGTTTTTTTTTTTAATTTGTTAATGCTAAATTTAAAGAAATGTTTTTATTCCTTTAAATTCATGACATTTTTCCTCCATTTTCATAGTTTTGTAGTTTTTTTTTTAATCGTTATCACTCTATGCAAGGCAGTAAAGCCACTAAGACACGGGTTTACTGGATGTGGACGAATTAGGAACAGAAACATTAATAATGTGCCTGAAAAGTAAAGAATGACCAAGAGGACAGTCGATAACGATTGACACTGCTTTTAATTTTTTGCAGATTAATGTTGTCTGGAAAGCATGGAACCAGAAGGGATTTCTAGAAGCGAGAATTACGAGAAAAAAAGCGGTTACGGTTATGTCTAACCACCTCAATTGTAAATTGATTAGATATCGATGCTAGACCCGTACTGCCCTTAAATTCAAAAGGTTTAAGGGCCATAGCGAAGAGCTCATCTAAAAATGACCATGAAATTGTGTAATAAATCATGTATTCATCATAAGAGAACGATTTTACATTAATTGATTCTTAGAAGAAAATTTATATCTTAAAATTGTAAGAATTGCAAATCAGACCAATAGTGTTGCATCGAGAAAAGTAGAGCATAGGCTGATCTGTGGAACATATTGAATATGGAAACACTTCCCATATCAACTCTATGATCGTTTACCGCGCCGCATTTGTAACATAAGGACAAACGTGTCTATTCAGGGTGTCGACAAGTTGAAATGCATTCACATAATTTCGCCCGCTTGATGGGACGGCAGGCTTGACGCCATATGAACGATTTTCGAAAGCGCGTATTTTCAGTCAATAGAACGTTGATTTTTCTCATTCCTTTCGCCAATCACATCGAATCAAATATTCTCTGCAATATTTTTGTCCAAATTCCAGCAGTTTGTCATAAGGGACTCTCTTAAACTCCAGCACTAAATTGGCAGTTTAAGTTGCAACCGTAAGTTCTATGCTAATAATTTCTTCTCCCGCACTTCTCGCTTGTACAACTTTCTTCCAGCTACTTTCTTTTCTGTCACCTACGAACTTAAACCTGGGTATGACGATAAACTACATCTGGCAGAAAGGCCCCTGGAAGTTTTGAGGAGCGTGGAACTGCCTCTTAATTGCTGTTATTTCCAGGTACGCCCTAACCAGGGTAGTAGCACCTGTTAATGTCCCAGCTATGGGCAAATAGTTAGCCCTCAAGCAAAAACAAAAGCCTATGAAAGTATAAAAAATACCCGAAATGCATTTTCTATTTAAAAATACCAACAATAGGTATTTATAAAATGGCCAACAATAGATATTTATAGTAAATGACTTACAATAGATATATTAGAGTTGAAGGCATACAATTGCTTTCAAAATATATTTAGTCATAAAATTGCTTTTCAAAATATATATATTAGTCATAAAACAAAATTGTTTTTGAAAATATATTTTTAGCCATAAAATAAAGTTGAAAATGTTTAGATTTCGGCATTAAATAAGACATGGGATTTAATACGGGGCTAAACAAAAAAAAAAAAAAAAAAAAAATAGTGTTTTTTGAAGGATAACTTTTCTGCCCATGTTAACCCAAACGAGGAAATTAGAAACAATCTTATAAGTTCTGAAAGCGGGAAAACACTTGATGCGTAGTTAGGAATCAAGCAAAGTATCTACAATAAAAAACACATCAGGCGCCTTAAATACAAAAATCCTATATACAGATCTGAAACCAGAAATCAATTAAGGAAGAGTGGCAGAACGTATGGAACTCTTCCAAAACAATTAAACCTTCTATAGAAGAATAGCACCAGAAACACCAAACTAGGAGAGAAGTGATTAGGTCAAGGCTCCATATTGGACATACTACCATAAACCATTCGTATATTCTAAAAAGAGGAAGATGCTCCAAAAACCATTCACAATAAAAGACATATTAATAAACTGCCGCAATTTTAATTCAATAAACTAAAATGCTACCAAACAAGAAACTTAAAAGAACCTTTTCAAAATAGTGATCCACTTTACATATTCGAGTTTCGAACAGAAATAAAAACTGATTTCAAAAATATAATTTAAAAAAATATATATCACCATAACAGCAAAAAAAAAAAATGGCTATTTAAATAAAATGATTTATTTAGGAAATATATTAAATTTCTGTATTAAAAGACTCAATGGGTTGATAAACCGTAAAACAAACAAAACGTACTTCAAAAATTTAAATATGATGTCAATTGTCATTTTCTGTCTGCTTGAATTCTGTTCTCTTACTGATTCCTCTGATTATTTCACTCTCAGAACCTCTTGCGTCTAAGTAGCTTTTATCGCCTTGAATGGGGTGAAATGATGACAAAAATAAATAAAAGGCAGAAAGAATTCTCGTGGTGATACCATTAACGTTGAGATATTAAAGGGTGTTTTTAATCTCATCACAATTTCTTTTATTTTGGATTCTTATAAAAAATCCATTTTTCATCGGCAGTGACTCACTTGTCACAAATAATCTTTCTCTTTTTGTATCAGACAATAACGGAGAGACATGTGTTTGAAACGCTGACCCTTGTTTGTTTCTCAAAGTTTTTGAGGAAACATTTTTGTAGCTTCGGACTTTTTATGGAACATTATAAATAGTGCATTAGGATTGACTCATTGCACAAGCGTTAAAAAGCTGGGGAAATTTCCATGACATTTTTAGTATTTTAGAAACATTGTTCAAAATGATATTTCCCACAATGCATTTCAACAATGATTCAATCTTTAGGTTCACATTGTTGCCCTTGCTATTGTAGTTACTAAATTGTTTTCACCGGTTCTTTTTTCTGATTACCTCAGGTACACAAACCGCATATACAGGGTTTGGCAAAAATACCTCCCACATATGCCTCCTCGAAATACCTCACGCATAGTGATAATACATTAGTGACAATGATGTTTTTATGTAGCTAATGTCTTACCATTATGGATGAGGTATATCTGGAGCGTATATATTTGAAGTATTTCTGTCGCACCATGTGCTTGTTACTATTTTTCTTTAATTAAGAGTAGAATGGATAGTTGACAGCAAAAAGGAACAGCCGTACATGCAACTTACAAAATGGAGATGCCAAAATCAAGCATCTACAAAATCTAAATATCTAGGAAGTGAGTTAACAGTGAAGGGAACATGCGACATCAAAATCCGAAGGCGTATTAGGGTTGCCTTTCAAAAGCTAAAGAAAATATTAAGAAACATGAAAAATCTTGTTAGAAACAAAGAAAAGAGTACTCAACAGTTATGTAATAGCAGTTCCCCGATGTGGCTGTGAAAGCTGGACAATTTCTTCACAGATGAAGAGACTTGAGGCAAGAGAAACGTTCTTCTACAGAAGGATGCTGAGAATACAATGAACTAAACATGCGAGCAACGAGGAAGTTTTCGAGAAAATAGAAACAAAAATGTTTAGAACTATATATATATATATATATATATATATATATATAGAGAGAGAGAGAGAGAGAGAGAATTTAATGTCAAGTGTATTTTGTGTCTGCTTGAATCCTGTTTTCTTACTGACCCCTCTGATTATTTCACTCTCATATACTCTTGTGTCTAAGTGGTTTTATCGCCTTGAATGGGGTGAACTGATTAAAAAAAAGCAGAAAGAATTTTTGTGGTGATGAAATTAAAGTTCTGGTTGATAAGTATGACTGCGGGTAATTAAGAGAGAGAGAGAGAGAGAGAGGGAGAGAGAGGGGGGGAGAGAGAGAGGGAGAGAGAGAGAGTGTGTGTGTATATGTGTGTGTGTGTGTTTAAATTTCTTGGGTACATAATAAAGATAGGGGGCTTTTAAATTTAACACTCACAGGTGATATTAAAAGCAGGAAGTACAGAGGAAAACATGGCATAACTCGCCTGGCGAGTTTGTCTAAATGGATGACAAGAACAGTGTTTAGGAGGGATAGCGAAAACTGTACTAAGAGCTACAAACGAATTGTGGAGAGCCATGATCGGCCAAGTACTGAAGAGACATGGCCTATAGAAATAGAAAACCATTGTACATTTTACAAAATAAATATTTACATCATTTATTCCAGTCCTGTTGAAACTCGACCAAGAAATCTGGCGAAACTTTGTGGCAACAAAAACAGATTTTAAAAAATGAATTAAATATACGAGTAAGACTCGTGAAAATCCCCCGGTTTTGCTTCCTATTTCATTGATTTTATTTTTTATTTTTATGAAACATAATTTTTAAGTTATGATTGAATGAACTCATATATGGAGCGAGAAAGTCTGAAGCTATAAAAATGTTTCCTCAAAAACTTTAAGAAACAAACAAGAGTCAGCGTTTCAAACAGCTGTCTCTCCGTTATTGTCCGATACAAAAGACAGAAAGATTATTTATGAAGTCACTGCCGATGAAAAATGGCTTTTTTTTATGAGAATCCAAAAGAAAAGAAATTGTAACGAGATCGAAAACACCCTTTAA